CACATTAGTAGCGCGTCCTAAAAAATGATATCCGCGAAAGCCACTATAGTGGCGCGTCGTCCTGAAAAATGATATCCGCGAAAGCCACTATAGTGACGCGTAGTATCTAAAAGGTTAATGGTCTGACCACAGTAGTTCTAAAAAGCAAAAAAATCGTTGAATTTTCACAAGGTCAGTTACTTTCCGTGTAGAATTCAATAATTTTGTTGACAAAAAACGATCATTATTTAACACAAAATCCAATTTTATTAGTGTCTTAAAGCACATTTTTCACTGTCTTAGAACATTTCTCTGCATATAGATAAAAAAATTTTTAGCATCTTTCCGGTTCTGTACGTAGTAGCAATCAATAATATCTCTAAAGAAATACTAATTACCGGAAGATTTGAAACGTTTGCGTTAAAGCCTTGAAGCGTATACCTGCGATTATAAATTTTAAAAGCGAAAATAAAGATTTGATATTATAAATGGTCAGACCACAGCATTCCTAAAGATGCGAAATCAGATCTAAAAAGTAGCTTAAAATTCTTTCAAATATAGTGAGAGATGTTCGTAGACGTGAAAAATGTGCTCTTAGAAACTCAGCAGATGGGATCTCTGCTTAACCTAGATCGCTTTTCGTCGATAAAGATTAGAATTCTACACGTAAAGTAAACAAAATTAGTAGAAAATCAACGATATTTTATATTTTCAGACTATTGTAGTCAAACATGGTAATCAAATAGCCCATTTTTTCGTTCTTGAAATTTATATTATAAGGTATACTCTGTAAAGCATCTCCGAGACTTTTAAAATCATTGCTTGAAATAGCATTCTTTTAGAAATCTTATAGTTTGCTACATCGCCCAAATAGGTAAAGCAGCTCAAAAAATATTACAACAATATATGGAAATTTTCTTAGACAGTTAAAGATAGTGCACTTAAACACTATAGTGATCAGATTTCGCGATCACAAAGATCTGCATCAGCACATGCCACTGCCACTGCACATGCACATGAACATGCAGCTGCAACTGGAAATGCAAATGCTACTGCACATGCACATGCACATGCATATGCAACTGCGATTGCGCATGCACATAATCATGTAAATGCAACTGCATCTACACATGCCACTGTAACTAAAATAACACATTAATATGTAAATGCAAATCCAACTGCTACTGCACATGCCACTGCAACTACACATGTTAATATACATGCAAATGCAATTGAAACTAAACATGCGACGAAAACTACACATGTCAATACACATAAAACTGCTACTCCTTATAGAACTTCAATTGCACATGTACATACACATTTAACTGCACATGCAACTAGATATGCATATGCAACTACATTTCCAACTGCAACTACAATTGCTCATACATATGTTACGACAACTGCACATGCAAATTTAACTGCACATGAACATACACATGTACGTGCCACTGCACATGCACATACAAATGCAACTGGAAATGCAAATGACACTGCACATCCTCATACGCATGAATATGCCCCAAACACTGCAATGTGATCTGCAACTGTCCCCGCACATGAAACGTCAACTCTAACTGCACAGTCAAATGCAAATAAAATTGAAACTGCATATACAACTGCAACAGAACAAGCACAAGTACATACACAATCAACAGCGACTTAAACTGCAACTGCACATGAACATGCAACTAAATCTGTAACTGCACAAGCATATCTAACTAAAACTCCAAATGCAAGTGCTACTGCAAATGCAATTGCATTGGCACTTGCAACTGCACATGCAAAAGGAAGGCACATGCAACTGGAAATGCAGCTGCTAGTGTACATTTACATGCGCATGCATATGCAACTAAAACAGCGATTGCTACTGCAACTGTACACGCAAATGTAACTGCAACTGTAACTGAAACTGCACATGCCCATTTACATGCAGATAAAAATGCAAACGCTACTGTAAATGAGCATACTACTGCAACTGCACACGCACATGTAAATAAAGCTGTAGCAGCAAATGCACATGCAGATTCAACTGCAACTACAAATGCACATAGTCATGTAACTACAACTGCGCATGCACAAGAACCGGCATATGCAACTGCAACTGCACATGCACATGTAACTAAAACAGCAACTCTAACTGCCACTGTACATGCTCATGTGACTGTAACTACAATTACACATGTACATGCACAAGCTATATCAACTGTAAATGCAACTGTACCAGCACATGCACAAGAAACTGCACAAGCACAGGTACAAACAACTGCTACTGCTCATGCAACTGCACATGCACATGCAACGGCAACAGAACCAGTACATACTAAAAGAACTGCAATAGCAGATGCACATGCAGCTGCCACTGCAATTGGGATTGCCACTGCATTTGTAACTGAACAGGAACATGCAAATGCAACTGCCACTAAAAATGCAACTAATCATGCTCATAGACATGCAAATGCAACTGCCACTAAAAATGCAACTGATCATGCACATAAACATGCAAATTTAACTACGACAGCAACGGCAACTGCACATGCACGTGTAACTAAAATGCAACTGCATCTGCTACTCCACAAGCATACGTAACTGTAACTGTAACTACACGTGCATAAGTAGCCTCATATGCACATGTACACTAACATGCTAATGAAATTGTATCTACTGCTGAGACAGTATATAAAGATGCACATGGAACGAAACTTGAAACTGCAACTGCACAGAAACATGCAACTCCTACTGCACATACAAATGACACTGCAACAGCAAATGCACATGCATCTGCTACAAAACTTGAGTTCCGTTATTTATCGGAACAGTAGGCGTAATATTATAGAACGGAAAATTCAGATAAGATACACGTTTACAAAGATACCCGACCGAGGACTATACAAAAGAAATAGAGAGTATTTATTTAGGACCTTCGGGTTTTATTGCGTCGGCATGTATTCATAGATTATAAGGAACTAATATAGCTATCACATAGGGTATCTTATCTCGAATTCTTAGAACTTGGAGAGTAGTATATTTGATCAGATATCCCCACTGCAAGGTCGCATCAGAGCCCTTTGGTGGGATGTATCGTGGAGGAGGGGAGGAGGGCAATTACATTTTAGCCCAAAAATAGTTAGTTGTCCATACTTGTTAGGCGGAATCACATCCAAGTGCTCCGCGCAGAATTCAATACATTGCATAGGTTCAACTAGTCAGTAACCCGAGGTTATTACTAGTAATAAGAATCAAATTTAGCGTAGATCATTATACAAGGTCCAAGCACCATACTGATCTCTTGAGAACGAGTAATAATAAATATTCATTTCAATACAATATTGAAGTGTTTTATTTGGATTAACTCCTTCCGCCCTTACAACGCGGAAGTGGAAAGAGACAGCAGTCTTTTTCCGAGCAAAAGTGAGAAAGTGCGTGCACGAAAGCGTGCACAGTACGAGAGTGGGAACCAGCACTACCGTACAACCGTAAATTTGGTTCTGCGAGTCAGATCAACCGTACATTAAATGGTCCTTCGAGCCGGATCAATCGAACAACTTGCAACTGCACATACACATGAACTCGCAAATGCTTCGAAAACTGCCAATGCAAATGCAAATGCACATTCTTAAGCACAAGCTCATAAGCATGTACATGGATATGCAACTGCAAATGCAACAGCAACTGCAACTTCTCATGCACATGTAACTAAAAATGCAACTGCAACTGCCACTTGCTAGCATATATAACTGTAACTGTAACTACACGTGCATATGTTACCCTACATGCACATGAAAACTCGCCTGCAAATGCAATTTTATCTACTGCTGCTACAACATATGAAAATGCACATGGAACAACACTTGAAACTGCAATTGCACAGACACTGCTATTGTACATAAAAATGACACTGCAACAGCACATGCACATACAACTACCCATGCATATGCTCATGCAACGGCTACTGAACACAAAATTGTACATGCACATGCTATTGCAACTACACATCCTCATACTCATGCAACTGCGACTGCACATGCTCATAGCAATGCAAAGGCACCTGCAACAGCACATGCTACTGCAATTGCACATGCACATGCACATAAACATGCAACTGCAACTGCACCTGCACATGCTACTTCACAGGCACATGCAAATGCTACTGCAACTAAACGTGTTACTGCACATGCACATAGACGTGCAAAAGCAACTGCAACTGCGCATGCACAAGCATATTATCATGCAACTGCAACTGTTACTGCAAAAGAAAATAGACATGTAACTGCAACTGCATATGAACATGCACATGAAACTGCTACTGCACATGCAACTAAAAATTGCAAATGCAATTGTATCTGCAACTGCCACAGCACATACATATGCAACTGTAACTACACACGCATATGCAAATGCAACTGCACCTGCACATTCACATAACAATGCAACTGAAACTGCACAAGCACATGTAGCTGTTACTGTAACTGCAAATGCTTAAGCAAATTCACATGCATTTATACACGTACATGCAAATGCAACTGCGAAAGTAAGGAAATATGCATATGTAACTGCATATTAATGTTAATGTTTTTTGTGGCGTTGCAATTGAATTTGCAGATGAATGTGCAGTTGCTGTTACATGTGCAGTTGCAGTTACATGTGCAGATGCATGTGCTATTACAGTCTTATGTGCAGTTGCAGATGCAGTTCTAAGTTAAGATGAATTTGCAGTTTCATAAGCAGTTTTAGTTACAGATGCAGTTGCAGTTGCACTTGCTGCGGCATGTGCAGTTGCATGTATAGTGTCAGTTACATTTGCAGTTACATGTTGTATTGCAGTTGCCGTAGTATGAGCAGTCAGTATTACATGTGCTGTTGCAGTTTAATATGCAATTGCCGTTTTTTATACAGTTGCATAAGCATGTGCAGTTTGAGATATGTTGCAGTTGCAGCTTCTATTGCAGTTATATGAGGAGTTGAAGTATCAGTTAAAGTTACAAATGACGTAGTAGTTGCATTTCCAGTCGCAGGGGCTTGTGAAGTTGCAGCTATAGTTGCTGTAGTAGTTGCAGTTACAGTTTTATTTGCAGTTGCAGTTGCAGTGGCAAATGCATCTACAGTTACAGTTGCATTCGCATGTGAAGTTAAATGTGTAGATACGGATACAGTTACACAGGCAAGTGCGGTATAAGTAGCAGTAGCAGTTGCGTTTTTATAGGCAGGTAAATATAACATTTAAAGTTTACTCTGCAGTTGGAGTTGTGTGTGCAGTTGCAGTTGCATTTGCATTAGCAGCTGCATGTGAAGTTTAAGATGCGTGTGCAGTTGCACGTGCAGAGGCATTTGCTTGTGCAGTTGCATTCGCATGTGCAGATGTTGCTGCAGATAAAAATGCAAGAAGAAATGTTGATAAAATACAATGGCAAATAAATGCTGTGGCAATTGCTGTTGCATGTGCAGTTAACGTTGCATGTGCAGTTGAAATTTTATTAGCCGTTGCAGTTGACGTTGCAAAAGCAGATGCATGTGCAGTTGCAGTTTCAGTTGAAGTAAGAGATATATGTCAAGTTACAGGTCCATGTGCTATTGTTGTTGCATGTGCAGTTAAAGATGAAGCTGCAGGTGGTATTTAAGTTGCTGTTGCATCTGCAGTTTAATTTACAATTTTATTTGCTGTTGCAAATACATGTGCTGTTAGAGCTTTAGTGGCAATTGCATGTGCAATTGTAGTTTCAGTTGCATAAGCACCTGCAGTTACATCAAGAGTAAAATTTACTGGTGCAGTGGCATGTTTAGATGCCTGTAAAGTTTTGGTTGTTTGTAGAGTTTTCAGCGCTGTTACGGTGGCATGTGCAGTTGTCTATGCAGCTACAATTGCATTTAAAGTTGCAATTGCATATGCAGCTGCAGATGCAAATGCATGTGCAGTAGCAGTGGCAGAGGCATTTGCAGGTGCAGTAGCATGAGTAGTTGCAATTGCATTGGACGTTCAAGATGCAGATCCGTTTGCAGATGCATATGCAGTTGTAGTTACAGTTTCAGATGCAGTGGCAGTTGCAGTTACATTTGCATGTTCCGTTGCAGTTGCAATTGCAGTTGTAGGGCCAGCTCTAGTTGCATTAGAAGTTGCAATTGCTGTTACAGCTGAATGTGCATTTACAGTTGGATTTGTAGTTGCAGTTGTGTGTGCACTTGCTGTTGCATGTGGTGTTGCAGCTGCATGTGAAGTGGCGCTTTCGTGTTCAGTTGCATGTGCAATTGTAGTTACAGTTGCTATTGCATTGCAGGTGCAGTGGCATGTTTAGTGGCATGTACAGTACAGTTCCAGTTGCATGAGTAGTTTTATAAGTTTTTTTAGTTTCATGTGCAGTTGCAGTAGAAGTTGCCTGTGCAGTTTCAGTAGGCTGTACAGGTATTCTTACATTTGTAGTTGTATTTGCTGTGTCATGTGCAGTTGCAGGTAAAGTTGAATTTTCTCGTCGCAGTTTTACAGTTGCATGTGCAGTACTTCTTGCATGTGCAGTAGCAGTTACTGTTGCAGTTACTGTTCTAGGTATAATTGCATGAGCAGTTTTAGTAAAATCTGCAGTCGAATTTACAATTACAGTTTCTTGTACTGTTGCTGTTTTATGTCCAGTTTCAAATGCATAAGCAGTTGCAGTTTCATATGCATGTGAAGGAATATGTTAAGTTGCATGTGCAGTTGCGGTTGCTTGTGCAGTTTTTAGCGCAGTAACGGTTGCGTGTGTAGTTGCAGCTGCAGCTGCATCTGCAGTGGCTTATAAAGTTGCAGTTGCTATTGCAGTTTTCGTTACATGTGTAATTGCAGTAGTAGTAGCAGTTGCATGTGCAGTTAAAGTTTGATGTGCAGTTTTATTTGCAGTTACAGTTACATGTGCAGTTTCTGTTGCATGTTCTGTTTCAGTTAAATAAGCAGTTACATGTACCGTTTTAGTGGCAGCTGCATGTATATTTGCTGTTGCATGTTCCGTTGCAGTTGCAGTTACATTTGCTGTTTTAGTTCAGTGTCATGTACAGGTGCATGTGCAGTTGCAGGTGCATGTGCAGTTTTATATGCATCTGTAGTTAAAGTGGGATGTGCAGCTGCAGCTTCTTTTGCAGTACTATAATCAGTTGCAGTGGCAGTTAAAATGGAATTTGCAGTTACAGTCGTATGTGCATTTATAGTTGCGTTTACAAGGGCAGCTAGAAATGTTAAAGTTGCCGTGGCATGTATAGTTACAGTTTCATTTGCAGTAACAGTTGCATCTGAAGTTGCAGTTATAGTTGCAGTTGCTGTTCTAGTGTCTGTTGTATATGCAGATTCAGTTGCAGTTTTATGTGAAGATGCAGTAAAAGTTACAGTTGCATAAGTAGTTTTATTTATAGTTGCATTCGCAAGTGCAGTTGCCGTGGCATGTGCAGCTGCAGTTGCATGTTCTGTTGCAGTTAAATGTGAAATTGCAATATTAGGTGCAGTTGCTCTAGCAGTGGTAGATGCATGTGCAATTGTAGTAGCATGTGCAGTTTTTTGCAGTTTAAGTTACATTTGCTGTTACTTTTGCAGTTGCATTACAGTTTGAAATGCGATTTTGCTGTGGCATGTGCAGTTGAATGTTTAGTTGCAGTTTACGTCGCAGTTTTTTTAACATGTGCAATTGATAATGTAGCGAAAGTTGCAGTTGAAGAAGCTGCTAAATGTGCAGTAAGAGTTGCATGCGCATTTGCAGTTGCATAGGTAGTTACTCTTGCATATGTAGTTGTTGTTGCTTTAGCATGTGCAGTTGCAGGTAAAGTAACAGTTTACTTCGCAGTCGCAGTAGCATTTGCAGTTACATGTGCAGCAACATATGCATTTAAAGTTCCAGTTTAATGTCCAGTTATAGTAGCATGTGCAGTAGCAATTGCATTTGCAATTTTTGTTAGATGTGTAGTTGCATGTGCTGTTGCAGTTTTAAATGCAGTTCTATTTGCAGTAAACATTGCATGTGCTGTTACCTTTGCAGTTGCAGTTACAGTTTAATGTACAGTTGCAGTTCAAGTTGCAGATGCAGTTAAAGTAGGTGTTGTAGTATCATGTTAAAATGCAGTTGCGGTTGCATGAGCACTTTAAGTTACGGTTGCCGTTACAATTACAGTTGCCGTAATATGTGCAGTTTAATGTGCAATTAAGGTTTTATGTGCAGTTGCAATGGAATTTGCAGTAGCAGATGCATGGGCAATTGCAGTGGAATTTGCAGTAGCAGATGCATGTGCAATTGCAGTTACATGTGCAGTTGCAGTTGCAGTGGCAGATACTGTTTTAGTTGCATTTGAATTTGCAGATCTATTAAAATTAGCAGCCGAATAAACAGTAACATTTTCATGTACTGTTAAAGTCTCATGTACAGTTCCATTTGCATGTGCGGTAGCACATGCCTATTCAGTTGTTAGTGCAGATAAAAGTGCAGGTAAAAAGTTTAAAGATATATTATGACAAGAAAAGGCAGCACTAGTTGCTGATGCTTGTGCAGTTTCGGTGGCATTTGTAGTTGCACTTTCATTTTCCGTTACAGTAGCAGCTGCTGTTGCTGTGTCAGCTGCAGTCACAGTTAAATTTGATGTTGCAGTGTCAGTAGCATTTGCATGTGCAGTTGCATTTGCATTTGCTGTAGTTTTTGCATGTACAGGTAAAAATGTTTAAAAAAATATGTTACTAATAAAATGCAGTGGCAGTAGCAGTTGCATTTGCATTTGAAAGTTAAAATGTTACCGTATAGGTAATAAAAAAAATGCAGTTACAGTTGCAGTTGCAAGTGCAGGAAAAATTACAGTTTTAGTTGCGTGTGGAGTTCCAATTGCAGTTTTAGTTGCAGTTGCATGTGCAGTTGCAGTTGCATGTAGAGTTGCAGTAACAGTTGCATGTGGAGAGCAAGTTGCATTTGCCTCTGAGGCTGCAGATTAATGTACAGTTGCATTTGCATGTGCCGTTTCAGTTGCTATTGCAGTTTTAGCTGCAGCTACAGTTGCTTAGGCAGTTGCAGTATCATTTGCAGTTACAGTTGCATTTAAAGTTACAGTAGCAGTTGCAATTTTTTTTTAACTTGCAATTTCATTTGCAGTTGCAGTTACATCTGCAGTGTAATTTTTAGTTGCAGTTGCTTTTTTAGATTCAGTTTCAGTTGCAATACCAGTTGTCGACGCATGTTCAGTTGCATAGGCAAATGCAGTTGCAATTGCAGTTTTATGTGTAGCTACAGTGACATCTGCATTCTTATTTACAGTTGCAGTCTTCTTTGTAGTTGCATATGCAGTTGCAGTTGCAGTTTTTGATGCAATTGCAGTTTCAGTTTTAGGTGCAGTAGCAGTTGCAGTTCAAATTGCATGTTTATCTTCAGAAGTAGTTTTATGTGCAGATGCAGTTTTAGTTGCAGTTGCTCGTAGCATTTGCAGTTGCTGTTGCCGTTACAGTTGAATGTGCTATATTAGTTGCAGTTGCAGTTGCAAATTATTATGAAGTTGCATTTTTTATTTCCGTTAAGTATGCAGTTGCAGTTGCAGTATAATGAGCAGTTGCAGTTGCAGTTACATTCGCATCTGCATTTGCAGTTACAGTTAGATGTGCAGTTGCATTTGCAATTGCCTAAATATAAAAAAATGTAAAACAATGTATTATAAGAAAAAAAATCAGTTGCAATTTCCTGTGCAGTGTCATGTGCTTTAACTTTCACGGCAAATGAAACTGCAACTACAACTGCAAATGCCTTTGCCTCTGCAACTAAAACAGCACATGCAGCTGCAACTGTTACTGTACTTGCACCGTACGTTCAACTGTATCTTTAACTGGAACTAAAATTGGAACTGCAAATACAACTGCTACAGCAACTGCAAAAACAACGGAAGCAGCATATGCATCACCAACTGCAAATACAACTGCACATTCAGCTGCAATAACAACTGCAACTGCACATTCTACTGCAAATGTAATTGCAATAACAACTGCAACTGCAACAACACATGCTACTGCCACAATACTTGTAACTGCAAATGTTTCAGTACTTATCTCCGTACATGCAACTGCAACTACAACTGCAACTGCACATCTACCGAGACATGCACATTTTTCGGCTACTGCAACAAAAAAGCAACTGCTACTGTACATTTAACTTCCAATGCAACAGCACTAGCAACTGCGAAGTCAACTACAAATTCAACTGCAACTGCAACTGCACTTGCATTAGCAACCCACTATGAAACGGCAACTGCAGCTTCAACGGCACATGCACTGACATTTGAAAAATCATCTACAACTGCAACTGCATCTTTACCTGCTACTGCACATAAAATAACCACTGCAAATGCAACTGCTACTGCATCTGCACATGTACTTGACATTGCAAATGCAACAGCAACGTCGACTGCAACTTCACCTGCAACTGCAATTACTACTTAACATGCAACTGCCACTGCATCTTCACCTTAAACTGCACATAAAACTGCGAATAAAACTGCAATTGCAACTGCACATTTATTAGCAGTTGCCCATGCATCAATAACTTCCACTGCAACTGCACATGCTACTGCAAATGCAACAGCAACTGCATATCAAACGGAACTTGCAACTACAACAGCTTCTGCTACGGCAACAACATATGCTACTGCAACAGCAACTTTACCTGAAACTACAACTACTTCTGCTCCTATAACTTCAACGGAAAATGCATCCGCACATGATACTGCTACTGCATTCTTACTTAAAACTGCCGCTGCATTTGCTGCTGCAGCTAAAACTTTAACTAAAAATGCAACAACACATGCAATTGCAACTGCATTTTCACTTAAAACTACAACTACATTTTTACTTAAAACTGCAACTACATATGTTGCAGCAACTACAACTGAAACTGTAACTGCACATGAAACAGCAACAGCAACTCTAACGGCACGTCTAAGTTTAACTGCAGCTGCAACTGCACATGCAACTGCAAATGCAAAGGCAACTAAAACTGCAAAAGCAAATGCAACTGCACTTTTCCTTGCAACTGCAAATGCAACTGCTTCAGCAACTGCCACTAAAACTGCAAGAGCAAGTGTATATGCACTTGCAACAGCACATGCTACTACAACTAAAACTTTAACTGCAACTATAACATCTTCTGCAATCTAACTTTCTTTAACTACTTCTACTGACAATGTAACGGCACATGACACTGCAACTACATTTGCAGCTTCAACTAAAACCTCACATGCACACGCCACTGCAAATGCACATGCACTTGCATCTGCTCATGCAACAGTAACTGCAACTGCAAATACAACTGCAACTGCAAATAGAACTGCCACTGCATGTTCACATGCACCTGCAACTGACCATGCAACTGCACCTGCTACTTCCACTGCATAACAACCTGCATCTGCACATGCAACGGCAACTGCAACTGCACTTGCACCTAAAACTGTAAATAAAACTGTATTTTCACCAGCAACTACAAAGGCAGCTGCAAATCCAACAGCAACTGCAACTGCAACTACCACTGCTACTGCAACTATACCCGCAACTACAACTGCTACTACATATGTAACTGCAACTCTGTCATCCATTTAACCACATGCTACTACAACTGTTATTGCAACTACACATGTACCTTAAACTGCCCATGCAACAGCGATTGAAACTGCAACAACAAATTTCAACTGCAATAGCAAATGCAACTGCCACTCCAACTAAACAAGCAACTGCAACTATAACTTCAACTAATACTGCTACTGAAGATGCACCTGCAACAGCACATGCACTTGCAACTGCACCTGCAACATCAACTGCTAATGCAATAATACATGCTACCGTAACTGCAACTTAACCTGCCAATGCAATTGCTTCTGAAACAACAACTTTAACATCCAATGCCACAGAACATGCAACTGCAACTGCATCTTCACCTAAAAATAAAACTGCAACTGCAACTACAACTGCTACCTCAAATACACATGCACCTGCAACAAACTATGCAACAGCAATTGACTATGTAACGACAACCGTACATGCAATTACAACTGCAACTGTAACTACACCTGCGACTGCAACAGCACAATAACATGAAACCGAGCATGCAACAGTAATTATAACTGCTACTGAACAGAAACTTGCAACTGAACATGAAACTGAAACCGCTACTCTAACGGCAGCAACAACAGCACAGTCAACTGCAAATATAACTGCAACGAAAACTGCAAATCCACCTGCAACTGCACATGGAACGGTTACTGCAACTGCAACAGAACCTGCAATTACACATGCATCGGCAACTGCTACTGCTACTGCAAATGCMCCAGCCACTAAACATACCACGGCAACAGCAACTACTACTGCAAATGCAACTGCAACTGCAACTGCACATTCACCAGCAACTGACCATGCTTTAGCAACTGCAACTCCAACGGCACATTTAGCAACAACTGCACAGTCAACTGAAAATTCTAATGCAATTACAACTACACATGCACCTGCAACAACCTATGCAACGGCACATGCAGCTGCAATTGCTAATGTACTTACAACCGTACATGCAACTACAACTGCAACTGCAATTTCACATGCACTTGCAACTGCTCATGCAACAGCAAATGAAAATGCAACGGTACAAGCAACGGCAATTGCAATTGCAGCAGAAACTTCACATGCACCTACACCTGCAAATGCATCCAGCACTGCCACTGCTACAGCACATGCAACTGCAACTGCTACCCTACTTGCACAGTACGTGCCACTGCAACTGTACTTGCAACTGTACATGCAACT